CTCTGTTTGTAGAAAAACAGTAACAACATCTATACTATTTATCCGTATCCTTTTGTATGTATTTCAAAGCGGTGATATCTGAGTGATAGGCTTTGATCTGCATGATAACACATAAAATACGAACTGTCATAGTATGAATATATGACAGTTGTGCCTGAGTAGCAGTAATAAGCATGATATCCGTCACTGCGACTTTTATTATCCTCAGATAAGTACAAGGAATAATTTAATGGACGTCACGTATAAATATATTCTCTATGAGCACACAGGCCTTCCAACACACAAGTGGAATTCATAACCGACAACATATCTTCTGTAAGAGTGGATCGAAAAGTTGTGCAATACTCTCCTATAGCCGCCTGCACTCGGAAGTCCATTGTTAGAATTCCTTGTAGAAGCAGGAAATCAAGTGATAAATACAGATCATTTAACTTGTGTTGGCACATTTCAATAAAAACATTCATAGAATTATGAAGCAGCAAACGTATTGTGTAACTCTCCCCTAATATCCATATTATTAAGAAGAATTCACTAGTGACCTAGACGAACAGGAGGATACACATTTGAATATGAGAGAAAACCCATGGGCAACAGATCTTACAAGAGTATAGATTAGCATTAATATGAATGAATACGTGCTCTATGATTCGGCGCGTCATCACCGCATGTATAAATCCACGATTTTACCAATATATCCTATGGAAAAAGGATGAGAATAAGACAGCCAGCAAAATAGCAGTAGGTCAAGAAGTCTGTTGTCCCTCTGTATATATCTCAATGAAGGAAACGGATGAAGTCTAGACATTGAGTGTTCTGTATCATTATATTAAAAAACTTAACATATATTGAATATAGACAAAATAATAAATAATCTACAAGTATATGTCTTATTCTATTTTCCCGGAGACCTAAGAAAACACCATCGAAGTCAAATCGGGAAGGACACTTTAGAAGCAGCAAAGGAACACAAGATTACAACTAAAAGAAGGAAATGATAGAGTAGGTCCAAGGGGGGAGAACAGAACCTGGAGAGGCAAAGTGGGCAATGATGCTTGTGAGGCGCTGCTTAAGGTCGAAACTGTAAATCCGGAGCGGACAACATTAAATGATTAACCGTAAAAAATAGAATTTAGAGGCTGATGACACAATCAGAAACAGGAAGGATAGGACTTTAACCATAAAGCATAAACAATGAATCATACACAACAGACACTCCACGTTGTAAACCAAGTAATAAAACACATATCAGAACCATAGGAAGTAAAGAAAGAGCAGTACACGATGGCACCCCAAATTAAACACCGTAGAAGCTAAACATGGAGCCTACCACAAAAACATTCGGAGACATACCCTGAAGGGTAATAGGACCAGATACAACAAAACACCTTGAAGCATGAACCATAACACATACACCTGAGCAATGAACAATACACAAACAGTATAGACCGTAGACCTAGAGCGTGCAAAAGCGACCCAACAGTTCATCAGACACAAATAAACCCTAAGGGTATCCGATCAGCCATACACAGTAAAACTGAGTCGGAGGACATGGAATCTGAACCGTACACCGTCAAGATATGGCACAGAATCCTCAGCCTAAAGAGATAAGAGACAACAGCAGACAGCAGAAAGAAGGGGGCATATCTAAGAAATTAGCCGTAAGAATAGAGACTAGAAAGTGCCGATAAACTCTAACCATTAAGCCTGACCGATAAACCCAGCAGGCTGAGCCATGAGATATGAAGCTTAAACCCCAAAAGAAACAACCCAGACACTAGAGGCTAAAACCTAAAAATCTAAGGATGACCAACGAACAGGAGGCGCCTAATCAGTGAATCTTACTAGCCTAAAATAACTTATCGGACAATACTAATAAGCACTAAGAAGTAAAAACAACCCCCGAGCAATACACTAGGACCTGGAGGCGTAAACATAGAGGATAAGGGCTGACCGCTACACTCGAGAGTGGAACCGGGGGGATAAAGAATAAAGAAATAATCGTAAACATTAAAGAATACAGACTGAACAGTAAAGCATGACACAACACCACAGAACCATAAGCCGACTGCGCAATGCCCTAAATAAAACCCGGATGAGACGAGTGCTTAGACCCTGCTACCTGACTGCGTACAATAGAAGCCTGAGAACCAAGGAATACAGGTAAGACATATAGGAAGAAATGTACTGTGTAACAAGACTCCATAAGATAGGAGCCCTTAGAATTACAGAAACCTAAGTAGAACAGCAGGGTGATAGATGGAAACGAAGCCTAAGCAATAATGGGAGCAACATAGAGCCTCAAGCAGAAGGCCGACAGCACAGCTTAAGCAGTACGAGATAGAAACCATATAATAAGGGGAAGGGGCAGCGACTGACAACATACTTCTGCGATATACATTTCCAATCTCTACGCCTAAGCATTGCATGTCTACCAGAGTGCATGTAACATGGAACATACTTCATTATCACTGAGATATAAGCCATACCTGAGGACCCATAGAGGTTAAAGCCCAGGAATTAACACAGGAAGAAGAAGGCTCAGACTCCAAGGCCTAAATCCAAAATCGAAGACTTAATCATTTTGGGCTAAGAGATACAAGCTAAGGAATGAGAAATAACAAGTTAACACTACCTGCAAGGGCAATACCCAGGAACTATAAACACCAAAGCATAAGCAGTCCAGTGCTAAAGAATAAACTCTGAAATTACCGCGATAGTCATGCACCAGGAACCTGAAGCCCAACTGAGGACCTTAGGCATCGATCCAGGACACAAACCCCTAAGCAATTGAGTCGTAATTAAGAAAGAGAGCCTCGAAATTATAAGCCTTAAACCGAGGAACATAGACAGCAACACAAGAAGAATTATAAGTTGAGCCTAACAGGTAGAGGAGGAGACAGGCAGCCTCAAAAGCAACCAATAAAGAATACAGAATAATACAAGAACAAAAAGGAAAAGGGGAAGAGTCCGGGGCCTAAAGGTAGGAATAGGCCCTAAAACCTAAACCTCAACTCAAGAGCTATAAATATAAGCCATAAAAACTACAGAGGAATAACCCCCCCAAAATCCTGAGTCCCCCACACTATAAAGTAAACGTGCCCCCTCGAAACTCCGAAACCGCAACCGTAACCCCTGAACTTCCATGCTTGAAAACCAAATCTAAATCAACAAGGCTAAATCCTCGACCTTAAGTCATACAATATGAACTCTAAGGCTAAACAATAAGGCCACGAAATTACACGCAGCAAACGAAAGAGGGAGGAAACCATGAATCCTCAATATCAAACGGAGAAATTTGGAAGGAGCATCTCGTGCGTGAAAGCCAAGTTACAGGGGGATGCATGATAAAATGCAAAGCCTAAACTTCCAAATGTTACCCCAGGTAGCTGAGAATTAAAACGAAGTACTGAACCCAGAATAGGGGAGAACAGGGTGCCTCAACGCTACAGGTCTCAACCCTAGGCGTTAGACAGGAACAGTAAACTTACGTCGAACTACAGACACATGATAACTAGAGCCTATAATAGTAACCCATGAGCCGTAGGCCATAACCTCTGTAGGCTACACCTTCAAGGATAACACCTAAATATTAAACCCAAAAAACTACCCCATGAGAACTATGCCATAGATCCTGGAACAATGAAATCTAGAAGTTAAAGCATGGAAACGAAAGCGTGCACGCTAAATACCGAACCCATAACCTACCCCTTAGGGCAGGAACCCTAAAGCGTAACCCCGGAAGACTAATAGAGATGCCCAGAACCTATGGCCGTAACATAGACTAGACCCCGAAAACCTGAAGACAAACTGTCTGAAATCAAACAAAGAGATAAATCATCTGATGGCTAGACTCTATAGAGAAATAAAGGATCATCATCACTGACGCCTCAACATAAGACCCCGAATAGCTCTAAGGTACACCTTAGCGGAATGTCTGAAGAAAAACTACAAGGAGACCAATGAGGGATCAAGCGTTAAGCAAAGATGCAGAATCCTTGAGTTGGCGCCCTAAATACCCAAACGCCAGGCTAACGGCTCAAAGAGAAACGAAAGGACCACGAAGGGAGTAGCGGTGAATGTAACAACACAAGTATAATGCCTGAGGGAAAAGGGCACTATGACTAAAGCGTGAAACGTATAGACAGAACCGGGAATCCGAAAACGTAAACACCAGTACCCTGAACCCTGAAGCACTGAACCCTAAACCCTAAACATACAACCCTAAAACCTGAATCCTAAACGTAAGCCCTTAAAAACTGAACCATAAACACTGATCCTTAACCCCTGGACAATAAGCCTAAATGCTAAACCCTAAAACTTAAATCTGAGCGCAAATCTCTAAACACTACCCCTAAGCACTAAACCCTACAAGAGGAAAACTAAACCCCTAGAAGCTATAGATAGAATCTGAAACATAAGAAACAAGATCTAGAGGGGAAAACATGGGCCCTAGACCATAAGGCCTAAAACATGGATCCCAAACTTAGACCTTAAAACTAAAACCTAGAACTAAATCGTTAACCGTTACCTCTAAACCCTGAATCCTAGACCCTGAACCCTAAACCTGAGGACATGAGCCGGACTCGTAGAAGTCGAAAAGTATCCCATAAACCCTAAAACATGAACCCTAAACCAAAAACTCTAGAACCTGATAGCTAGAACATAGACCTTTACCCCTGAGCAGTGAACCATAAACCCTGAACACTTAAACCCCGAACCCTAAAACCTAAACCCTGACCCCTAAAACATAAACCCTGACCCCTAAAGACTAAGCACTGACCCCTAAAGCCTAAACCCTAAACCCTAGAAACCAAACCCCATAAACCTAACCCCGAAGCCCAGAAGCTAATACCCCGAACCTTAAATCCTCTCCCCTCAACTCTAAAGCTAAAGCTCACCCTTGAATCCGCCCATAACACCAGGCCTGAACCTCACCTGCCTAACCTGGACCCCAACACTTCGCAATCTCGCAAGGACTTAGGGGACGCGTGCCTGTTCCCTTAACGATACCCGAACCGTATGGATCTGCCCCTCCCTGTCCTCCGCAGGACTCCTAGACTCGTTAATCCACTTGCTATACGGTAATAACCATATATTGAACCTCCCATCATCAGTAGGGCCACAATTCCCCCTACCACCGCCCCCATTCCATGGACACTTCCTACGAGCGCCTCTGCCTCATGCGAACTAATGGCCCCGTCATACACTGCCCCGTCCTTCCCCTGCGGGGCCGGATTGAGGGCCTGGCCTGCCCCTTGGGGTCCACTACCTGTCCCTGCCGCAACCCCCTTGTTGAATCCCTCACTCCTTTCGCCATTTAAGGCTCCATTGCTGTTCATCTCTACAGAGGGTTCCTCCGATGGTATGGCAGGGAGTAGAGGACGATCACATAATCCCTCTCCTGTTTTGCAGCTACTCACAGTTGCGTCGGTGCCCCAACGCGTCGTATACGCCTCCTCCTTCTGCTTCCTTGACTGGAGGAGGGTCGACACATAGTCACAAATTAATCCCTTATCTCCCCTCCCATCACCAAACATAAACTCACTTATAATCTCATATAAGTCCCTCCCAGAAAGTGTGAAGTCAGCAGTGACGCCTGGATCCTCATTCCCTCCCACAAACCACTGCTTCATGATCTTACGTGCAACCAGTGGTCCTCCCCAATCGCTTAATTCCCTGTAGAAGGTATCACACGCGTTCGCCTTGTCTAGTGTTTCTCTCTTCTGCCTTTCCTGCTTTCTTAGTTTAAAGATCCGGATTATCATAGATACTATATCCATACATATAGCCAGGGTCCTGTGGGTTCCCTGACTATAAAATAACTTCTGACGCCCACCTAAACTGCCCCAACTCAAGGTGCTGGCGTCGACTACGCATCCGCTCCTCCGATAGTCCCCTGTCTGCCCGTAACCCGTCCTCCCGGGCGTACACTGGCCCATGCCATATACGTTCCCCTGGCCTGACCTCTGTCTTAGATTTCCACCCCAAATCTCTAATCCCACACATAAACTTCTGCTAAACTCCCATAGTGGGCTTCTGTCTTCCTCTTCTCCAGATTGGGATTCCCGCCGATTCCATGATTTTATCTCCTCCGTTGATTTTTGAGGCTGTTGATTCAATCTACATAATCTTCCACCTGAATCGACCTCTTGTTGACACTCGCTACTTCTTCCTTTACCTCCATATAACTGCCCGAAATACCCTGCTACTGGAATCCCCATTCTGAGAATACCTTGCATTCGACTTGGTCTTTCACTCGGTCAACGATTTACTCGATGGTAACTTCGGACTCCCCTCTGGATTCTTGTCTGTCATCATCTGCTCCTTTCCTCCCTTTCTCTTAACACTTTCGCCTTGAACTTCGCCTTCCTTTCCCTGGAGCTGATAATACTCGTGCCGCCTCGTCTTCTTCGTCTGTCGACCTCAGCCTTTATTCCCATATTCCTGCTCACTCTTGCTCCTTACGCTGCCGTGGTAGCCCCAGTCTGTACGCCATCTGAATGTTCTCCCTCATGTCTCTCTCTCCTCCGGCTCTCCGTCCTCTAGTCGCTCCTAGTTGCCTTCGTCCGTCCTGCCACTTTAATTTCCTCTCCAAACCCTCGCATACCTGCCCCCCCAGTCATACGCTCGTCCATCCGGCGGATGCCCGCGTTGGCGCTCCGCCATCATCCCTTATATGCCTTCCTCCCTGGATCCTACGCCCTTCTCAAGATGTGCGCCTACCTCTGTCAC